TTTCTGGAACCACACATTAAGCTTTTATTATATTCAACAATATGTTTACATACAAATTCCAAATAAGTACAATACTGAACCAACTTTTGCTCTATTAACTTAGTTGTCCCTCAGATTTACCAAGATATTTTTGAAAACCTAACTGACATTCAGAAAAAATATAATGCTATATACAATGTCTCTTGTTGTTCTTTTAACCATGCATATTACCATTTTCAAGACTTATTGAAAATGTATTGAATTTACACATAGCATTGTTGTTTCTATTACTGCATGGAGAAAGAACGTAAAAAGTGCATTCTCCACTAAACACTCTTACTGTCTCTCATACTACTTTTGCTAGCTGGCCTACAAAGAAACTCATCTGGCTGCAGCACTTGTGCCTTCCACTTTGAATGTTGACTGCTGCTACAGGGTAAAATATTTTGACATAATTTTTAATATCTGTTATCCTTGCCAGATCTACCTTCCCTTTTTTCCCTTCTAGCTGGGAAGGCTAGAATAGTTCTTTGTGGAGGTGGACCTCAAAATTTGACCTGGAATGTAACCTTTTCTGATGGCTGAAAAAATTTCTGACAAAAATGACCCTCTCTGACTTGATTTGTAGACTGTTGTGCATTGATTGTTTGGTTGAGTTGCCCAGAACATATCACTGGACTTGATAAGGTCTGTTTGCTAGTATCTGAGTAGTGTGGCTGTCTACAGGGAAATGATTTTTCCATCTTCTCTTCCAATTGGTGCTGGTTTCATAGAAGAGTTCTCTAATTTTGTAACAGGATGTCTCATTATTCTGGCTGCATCAAGTTGTCACTACTACTTTCTGCCCCACTGGCCATAGTTCAGTGTTTCCAGATTTCTCAGGACAGAACTACTTGTTTAAAACTTGAAATCAATATATTGGAATCTGGTCTCTATATAACCAAAGTCAAACAGTGATGAGATGGGTTTTTTTAGTCAATTAATTGTCTGTTCTTGTCTCTTTTGGATATACACTGTAATTTCCTTTTTCTCTGGCTGTTTGATCATGGTTTTTTGTTTGTCTTGGAGTGTTGCTGAACAGTTTGATCGTGCAGTGCTCCAAGGTCAATTTTTTTCAAGGCAACTTTAAGTTATAAAATGGTTGTCAGAGATAAAATATGTGTTGTCATTACAAAAAAACATGCTTGATGTAATTTTATATGAGGGATAATACTCATATGAGTTTCGGAGAAACAGACTAGACGAAAAAACCTGCAGGCTTGATGTGGGGGCTTCAACCAAGTTGAATGCTTGACTGTAGAGATAGGAGATGTTAGACTGAAGGCATGAAGAATAGCAGTGGTAAGGCATAAATTGCTATGGTGAATACGAGGGAGAGGGATTTGACTACCCTTTCACAAAGTGAATAGCCTTGCTCCAGCAAATGACAATGAGGGTATCCCAGGGAAAAAACCTAAAATCTGCTTTGGTGAGCTGCTTGCTTGAGTCAAACTTACTTGGGGATGTAGGAAGCAAGTGTGCCATAAAATGCCACAAGGCATATTGCTCAAAAGAAGAAATCGAAGCTTAACATAAAATTTAAGGTCTCGGTAAAGGAAAACGAGGTGCCCACAGAGAAAAATTCTAGTCGCGCGAGTATTTTCGCTACAAAGGCAAGTTATATATCAAATTAAAGCTAAAAGACTAAATTACCTTATAAAATATTTTATTTCATCGAATTTCAAAAGGCACTTAAGTTTTTTGCTCTCGAACTCAGAGGTATCGAGTTTACTGCTGAAGCTCCAGCCCTTTCGCGTTGTTAAATATTCACTTTCTTTTTATTGCATCTGATTGACAGATAAAAGACCTAAAAAAGGGTGTGAGGAAATTTGCATATGTCTCGTATTAGGGGAGTTATTACATTTCAAACTAAAAAGTCGAATCTCGAGCGCGATTTGCGCAAAGAAACTGACATAAAATGAGTTACAAAGGGAAATCGGAAAATTCCTCACACCCTTTTTGAGTCTATATCATTATCCATCATATCTGAAAGTTTCAAAGCGATAGCTTAAAACCTGTCCCGACTGGAGGTCGGAGAATTCTGATTTTTGCGTCTGAAATAGAGTGAGAGAAAATCAGCTCTAAAGATTTAGCGCGAGGTCCACGCTTGGCTGGTTAGCTCAGAAAAAGCTCATTTTAGAAGGGTTAAAAAGCACTTTCTGATTTTCTTTTTCTGCCAAAATAAAATTTAGGACCCACTCATGCCAAAAATCCAAAAAACACAAAATCGAGCAATGTACTAAAATTTTCATTTACCGAGACCTTAAAGGAATATGTATAAGTAACAAAATGACAGCAGTAGTAGGTAATTTTTGATCTGGTGGAGTGTTGGTATCTAAGAGCGCTTTTTTGGAAATATTTATAATCACAGGGCTGAAATCTGACGTGATACTTTCCTTTGTTGACAGAAATGTTGCAATTTTCACAACCCAGCATGCAATAATGCATTATGAGATTCAAGTAAGTCAGGGCAAATTATAGCAAAATTCACTCACATTCTGCTTCCCCAAATTAAGTACGATTGTTTTGATATTTCTAATTAATCATTTCTATGGCTGTAAAAAGCCTTCTAGAGACACATCAGATATTCATGTACATAATTCACAAGCAAATAACACTGTTGACACCAAAATGTTTAAGATTAGCTATCTTTCAAACCCCAACCCTTATCTAAACCATTATATCTTCAAAAATATTTAGGGTTAAAGTCTAGCCTCGTTTCCATGTGATTGACAGTTCTTTTGCATAATCCCCACAGGTCACAGTGACTGGGAAGGCTATATGATGTACCGAGTTTGAGGGCGAGCCGCTAGATTCTTTTCAAGACATTGAGGGCTTTAATTCTAGCCCTGTTTAGATGTGCCTTCCATATCATTTACATAAATTAGTAGGCCCACCATATTGTAAAATTTTAGCAGTTCCAAAAACCAGTTATTTATTTATTTGTTACCTAGATATTTAGAGCTTGGTTTCTTGTGTCTTCCTTGGCAGCTCATGAATGCTGATTTGTGCAGGTGTAAGGATGCCCTGTTTAATGCTTTTTCTCGTTTGTGATGAAGAAATGTCAATGAGATGAAAATAGGAAATGGCATCTTGGTCGCCACCAAAGACCTTTTCCATTAACTAACCCTTATCTAGACCATTATATCCTCTTCAAAAATATTTCCAAGTGGAGTGACTTGAGTGTAGTGCATGAAGCACACGTGGTCTGCTAACCGCGTGTGGTCTTAGCCATCTGCAAGATTCGATGCCCCTTAACCCATTCGCCCCTGAACCGCCTGTAACCGCCCATGCAGATCAAGATACTTTATATCCTTTGTGACGTCATCAGTCTTAATTGTCAAGGACAACTTTCTTCGCTAACTTGTGTAGAGTGAAGAGATCTTTCAAACCATACCAGAATGAGCACAATTCAGTCAAGGACACCGGAGAAAGAAGCAAAAAAACCACGCGACATTGACCTCAAAATCTCCATGAAAATCTTGTTCCATTGCTCACCTAGCTTTCCTTTCACCTTATCCTAAGATCCTAAAAGCTTTCCTGAAAACTCTTCCCACCAAAATGAAGCCTACTAAATGCCCAGCAAGAGAAAAAAAAATGAGGCAAGAAAAGCGAAAAAAAGAAGGGAGGAGAGAAAGCGAAAAGTAAAAGTCAAGACTGCTGTGTCACTTTTAAACCCAAAAACTAGTTAGTTTGCCGGTTTCTCTGCCGATATAAGTTTCAGCCCTGTACTACAGCCCAAAGGATAATAATTTTCATGCGAATTGCACTGCCACATTTGTGCGTTGTTTTTTTTTTTTTTTTTAAATCCGGTTGCCGAAATGATGCTAAATATGCTTTTCAATACACTTTTAACAACAACACCACACAATACGCAAAAAAGAAGAAGAAGAAAACAAAGAACAACGTATGGACCTTCGTGGTGATATTCATGTTAGGTCATCCATCCAGGGCTTAACTTGAGTGCCGTTACCAAACCGAGTTTCGCAAGGGTTATTCTGAGATATATATTTCTAGTTAGTGTTATGGTCTAGCCTTGTTTCTATGTGATTGACAGCTCTTTTGCATAATCTCCCCTGGTCACAGTGACTGATAAGGCTATATGATGTACCAAGTTTGAGGGCGAGTCGTTAGATTCTTTTCAAGATATTGAGGGTTTTAATTCTAGCCCCCTTTAGATTTGCTTTCCATATCATTTACATAAATTAGCAGGCCCACCATATTGTAAGATGTTCAGCAGTTCCAAAAACCAGTTATTTATTTATTACTTATATATTTGGAGTTTGGTGTCTTGTGTCTCCCTTGGCAGTTGATGAATACTGATTTGTGCAAGTGTAAGGAGGCCCTGTTTAAGGCCGATCTTGGTTGTTGTCTCTTCTTGTTCGTGTTCCAAATAATGAAATGTCAACAAGAGGAAAACGGTAAATGCCATCCTAGTCACCAGCCAAGGCCTTTTCCACCATCTTTTATTTCTTGTTTCATTCAGTGTTTTAGCACCTAATGCATAAGGAAATAACACCTTTGACACCAAAACATTTGGAATTGACTCTCTCTCTAACCTTAACCCTTATGAAAACCATTATATCCTCTCCAAGATATTTAGGGTTTAAGCCTAGCCTCGTTTCTATGTGATTGACAGCTCTAATGCATATTCCCCCAGGTCACAGTGACTGGCAAGGCTATATGATGTACCAAGTTTGAGGGCAAGCCGCAGGGTAAGAAAAAAATTTTGAACTCCACTTGTCCAATGGACAAGTGAAGTTCTGGTTTTACTTGTCCAAAGCTCAAGTCTAGTTGTCCATGGATGTAGAGTTAAATTCAAGCTCTCTGATGCATGATAATGGCTACGAAGCAGAAACCTTTCTATTTCGGAACTAAGATAACATGGAGCATTTTAAGTGTCAACAAAACACTCATAATGCATACAAGTAATAGAATACCTATTTACGGTGTTGTTTCTAGAGTCTTTATATAATAAGATACTACTCTGAATCACTGTCAGAGCTGCTGTCTATTTGAGGTAACTCAGGCAAGGGAGGAAGAGCTTGGAAGGGCTCACTAACAGATGGGCCAGCTGTGGGTACAACCACTGGTGCATCATGAACTCTTTTCATTGCATGCCTCTTTGTCTTAGCACCAAGAAGCCACGCTTCAATTGCTGGGTTAGGGTCGAAGTCTTTCATTTCACAGTCCATTCCCTTGATCCTAAGCAGATCTGACAAGGTTCTCTACTCCATTCGAGTCTTCAAATTTGTTTTTATCCTGTTCATAGCCGAAAAGCACCTCTCGCATTTGGCAGTGGAAGGGGAGAGGCTAAGCATCAGTTCAACTATGACAAGAATATGCTTCAGGCTATCTGGCCTAGACGATAATAAGGTGGCGTAGATATCAAGGGGTTTCATTGCTTGGTGATTGAAGAGGTAAATCTTCAACTCCTGCCACTGAAAAACAGCACCTTCCTTTTCACCATCAGACAACAAGTTTTTAAAGTGATCAGTTAATGCAGCTACTTTGTCATTGCCAAAACTGGCTCTCAGCTTTTTCTCCCCTGGCACTTTGGTAGGATCAAATACTTCAAAGTAATTCATTGGGGGCTTAGACAGGCTGGAAAATCTCTTCTCAATGTAGGCAATCGCATCAGTTAGAAAGTTAGAAAATGTTTGTTGCATCCCCATCGCATTTCCTTTGTTCAGTACAACATCAAGATTACTGTCCTTTCCACATTTGAAGAGGCCACACTCAAAATTATAGTTTGACTGGAACTTGGCTTGGAAAGTTGCTCTTATGGGCAATGGATCAGAATCCTTGAGGCCTTCCAGTTTTGTTAGAGCTGTCTCCAACTTGGTGCTGACTTCAGTAATGAACAGATCATCACTTTGAAACTGTAGACTTAATTCTCTCAGAACTTTGGTAACATCAAGGAGAAAGTACAAAAATGTCACAAACTTTTCGGTCTTGATTGCTTTCACCATGCCTCTAGCTTTTGCTGCATCCTCACCAGTCCCTGTAGCCACATGTTCAAGTTTCTCTAATGCCAACAAAGCTCTGTGTCTACTGGCAACCCATCTGGTTTTCTGAGAGCCACTGCTGTTGTAGGCAGCCTGTTCCTCAAAGATGTCAGCAAAACCATAAGTTCCCTCCTTTTTTTTGGAGAGTAATAGTAAAATCGAAAGATCTGGGACACACTGTTCATAAAAGATTGAAGATAAGGGACACTTTTAATGGCATCGCCAACTCCAAGTTCTAAATTATGTGCAACACAATGCATGATGACAATGTTTTGATTGACTCTCTCATTTAGTTGAGTTGCAACTCCCGTTTTTGAGCCAAGCATCACTGATGCACCATCGAAATTACATCCTACCAGTTTTTGTTCGAGAGTTATGTCTTCGTTATGCCAATCCCAAGAAGACTCTGATCGATTGCATGTAAAATTCCATCTGCATTAGCAGATTCCAAGGCAACAATATCCACAAAATGACAAACTGACCGACCTTTCCTGTTAACATATCTGATATACACAGCTTCTTGCTCTACTATACCAGAATCAGTAGATCCGTCTGATAATATCGACATAAATCTACTATCGCTCACTGCGGACTGAATTCTGCCTTTCTCTACTTGGGCTATGTAGCTAATAAATGTTTTGCATCCTTTATCATTCTTGTACTGCTCCCCAAATTGCACACCATTCTTCTTCCGTAACTCACAAAGACCTGCAAATTTTCTGAAGGCGAGTTCTTCATGTGCTACAAAAAAGGCTGTGTTGAACAGGCACTGAAGTGCAGAACGACACTTTTAGTTGAACCACATTTCTTTGAACAACTGCCTTAATTGGTTCCAGGTACTGAGGATTTGAATCTTTCTCAAATTGTAGTGAGCAACGATAATGTTCCTTTGACGCGTTATGATGAACAAGGGAATCTATGCGATACTTTCCACCCGATCCACAGCCAATGTACAAAGAACTTTGTAGATTTGCAAAAGAAGGATACCTTCTACATGTGGAACAATACATCACATCTTGGTTCGCATCGTGTACTACCCACGGGAAGGTCTCTTTCCAGGATTCCTGAAACTTTCGAATTCGAGCTGTCGGGTTGTCACGTTGCTTTTTCTTCTCACTCACCACGGTGCTTTCTGTAGGTTTTGCCTTTCTCTTTAGCTGCTTTACTGGTGCACCAAAATAGCTTTTGATGCTTCGTTGATCAGCCATTATTCATGTGCTGATAGTGACTTAGAGGGTCTATTAATAAATGAGCAAATCAATACCCCCAAATGAGTCCCAGGTTCCTTTTGGTACTCATTGAAATAAAATGGCGGATAAATCGTAAGTGGTCGACTCATTTCGTTTCTTACTTGTAAGTTACTTTTGCGAAGAGCGATCTGTTTTACACTTTCGAAAACTTAAGTGTATACTAATTTCTCCGCTGAAAAAGTTTAAAACACCTTGTTTTTTTTAAAAATTATTTTCTGAGATTCATTTACTTGTCCAACGGACAAGTAAGATTGACAACCCACTTGTCCACTGGCCAAAACCACTTGTCTGGGGCAAGTGGACTCCGTCTTTGTCCCACCCTGAAGTCGTTAAATTCTTTTTAAGACAGTTAGGGTTTTAATTCTAGCTGCGTTTAGATGTTGTTTGGATGTCATTTACCTAAATAAGTAGGTCTATCATTGTAAGATTTTTGGCAGTTCCAAAACCACTTATTTATTTATTAATTCTATATTTAGAGTTGGTGTCTTGTGTCTTCGTTGGCACCTCATGAATGTTGATCTTTGCAAGTGAAAGGAGGCCCTGTTTCATGCTTTTCTCGTTTGTTGTCTCCTCGTTCATGTTCCAAATTTTGAAGAAATGTCAATGAGATGAAAATAGTAAACGGCATGTTGGTTGCCAGCCAAGGCCTTTTCCACCGTTTTCTGGTTTATTGTTTCGTTCAGCATGTCAGCTCGTAATGCATAAACAAAGAAAACTGTTGACACCAAAGCGTTTAAAATTAGCTCTTTCTTACCCTAACCCTTATCTTAACCATTATATCCTCTTCACGATATTTAATGTTAAAGCCAAGCCCCGTTTCCATGTGATTGACAGCTCTTTTGCATAATCCCCCCAGGTCAAGGTGACTGGCAAAGCTATATGATGTACCAAGTTTGAGGGCAAGCCATTAAATTCTTTTTAAGACATTGGGGTTTGAATTCTAGCCGCATTTAGATGTACTTTGCATTTCATTGACATGAATTCGTAAGTCTATCATATTGTAAGATTTTAAGCAGTTCCAAAAACCAGTTTATTTATTACTTATATATTTAGAGGTTGATGTCTTGTGTCTCCCTTGGGAGTTCATGAATACTGATTTGTGCAGGTGTAAGGAGGCCCTGTTTAATACTGATCTCGTTTGTTGTCTCTTCTCGTTCATGTTATGAATAATGAAGAAATGTCAACAAGAGGAGAATAGTAAATGGCCTCTTGATTGCCAGCCAAGACCTTTTCCACCATTTTCCGTTTCTTTTTTTGTTAAGTATTTTAGGACGTAAAGCATAAACAAATAACACTGTTGACACCAAAACGTTTGAAATTAACTCTCTCTCTAATCCTAGCCCTTATCAAAACCACTTATATCATCTCCAAGATATTTAGGGTTAAAGGCTAGCTTCGTTTCCATGTGATTGACAGCTCTAATGCATAATCCCCCTGGGTCACAATCACTGGCAAGGCTATATGATGTACCAAGTTTGAGGGCAAGCCGTTAAATTTTTTTCAAGACATTTAATTCTAGCGGCATTTAGATGTGCTTTGCATTTCATTTCCATAACTTAGTAGGTGCATCATTGTAAGATTTTTATCAGTTCCGAAAACCACTTATTTATCTATTTTTTTATTATATATTTAGAGTTGATGTCTTGTGTCTTCATTGGCACCTCATGAAAGCTGATTTTTGCAAGTGTAAGGAGGCCCTGTTTAATGTTTTTCTCGTCTGGTGTCTCTTCTCTTCATGTTTGAAATTGTGAGTCAATGTCAATGAGATGAAAATAGTAAATGGCATCCTTGTCGACAGCCAAGGCTTTTTCCACCATTTTCTGGTTTATTGTTTCGTTCAGCATGTTAGCTCGTAATGCATAAACAAATAAAACTGTTGTCACCAAAAACGCTTAAAATTGGCTCTTTCCTACCCTAACCCTTGTGTAAACCATTATATCCTTTTCAAAAAGTATGTAGGGTTAAAGTCTAGCCTCGTTTCTATGTGATTGACAGCTCTTTTGCATAATCCAGGTCACAGTGACTGGCAAGGCTATATAATGTACCAAGTTTGAGGGCGAGCCGTTAGGTTCTTTTCAAGACATTGAAAGTTTTAATTCTAGCCCCGTTAAGATGTGCTTTCCATATCATCTATATAAACTAGTAGGCCGACCATATTGTAAGATTTTTAGCAGTTCCAAAAACCTTTTAGGTATTTATTTATTTATTCATTTATTATTTATACATTTAGAGCTGGTGTCTTGTATCTTCATTGGAAGCTCATGAATGATGATTTCTGCAAGTGTAAGGAGGCCTTGTTCAACGCTTATCTCGTTTGTGGTCTCTTCTTCTTCTCTTTTTGAATCATGATCTTCAAGTAAAGAAATTTCAACTGTTCTGCTTTCCTTTAAGGTATCAGGAGGCCCTGTTTAAGGCTGATCTTGGTTGTTGTCTCTTCTTGTTCGTGTTCCGAATAATGAAATGTCAACAAGAGGGAAATAGTAAATGCCATCCTAGTCACCAGCCAAGGCCTTTTCCACCATCTTTTATTTCTTGTTTCATTCAGCGTTTTAGCACCTAATGCATAAGGAAATAACACCTTTGACACCAAAACCTTTGGAATTGACTCTCTCTCTAACCTTAACTCTTATGAAAACCATTATATCCTCTCCAAGATATTTAGGGTTTAAGCCTAGCCTCGTTTCTATGTGATTGACAGCTCTAATGCATATTCCCCCAGGTCACAGTGACTGGCAAGGCTATATGATGTACCAAGTTTGAGGGCAAGCCGTTAAATTCTTTTTAAGACAGTTAGGGTTTTAATTCTAGCTGCGTTTAGATGTTGTTTGGATGTCATGTACCTAAATAAGTAGGTCCATCATTGTAAGATTTTTGGCAGTTCCAAAACCCCTTATTTATTTATTAATTCTATATTTAGAGTTGGTGTCTTGTGTCTTCGTTGGCACCTCATGAATGGTGATCTTTGCAAGTGAAAGGGGGCCCTGTTTCATGCTTTTCTCGTTTGTTGTCTCCTCGTTCATGTTCCAAATTTTGAAGAAATGTCAATGAGATGAAAATAGTAAATGGCATGTTGGTGGCCAGCCAAGGCCTTTTCCACCGTTTTCTGGTTTATTGTTTCGTTCAGCATGTCAGCTCGTAATGCATAAACAAAGAAAACTGTTGACACCAAAGCGTTTAAAGTTAGCTCTTTCTTACCCTAACCCTTATCTTAACCAATATATCCTCTTCAAGATATTTAATGTTAAAGCCAAGCCCCGTTTCCATGTGATTGACAGCTCTTTTGCATAATCCCCCCAGGTCAAGGTGACTGGCAAAGCTATATGATGTACCATGTTTGAGGGCAAGCCATTAAATTCTTTTTAAGACATTGGGGTTTGAATTCTAGCCGCATTTAGATGTACTTTGCATTTCATTGACATAAATTCGTAAGTCTCATATTGTAAGATTTTAAGCAGTTCCAAAAACCAGTTTATTTATTACTTATATATTTAGAGGTTGATGTCTTGTGTCTCCCTTGGGAGTTCATGAATACTGATTTGTGCAGGTGTAAGGAGGCCCTGTTTAATACTGATCTCGTTTGTTGTCTCTTCTCGTTCATGTTATAAATAATGAAGAAATGTCAACAAGAGGAGAATAGTAAATGGCCTCTTGATTGCCAGCCAAGACCTTTTCCACCATTTTCCGTTTCTTTTTTTGTTAAGTATTTTAGGACGTAAAGCATAAACAAATAACACTGTTGACACCAAAACGTTTGAAATTAACTCTCTCTCTAATCCTAGCCCTTATCAAAACCATTTATATCATCTCCAAGATATTTAGGGTTAAAGGCTAGCTTCGTTTCCATGTGATTGACAGCTCTAATGCATAATCCCCCTGGGTCACAATCACTGGCAAGGCTATATGATGTACCAAGTTTGAGGGCAAGCCGTTAAATTTTTTTCAAGACATTTAATTCTAGCGGCATTTAGATGTGCTTTGCATTTCATTTCCATAACTTAGTAGGTGCATCATTGTAAGATTTTTATCAGTTCCGAAAACCACTTATTTATCTATTTTTTTATTATATATTTAGAGTTGATGTCTTGTGTCTTCATTGGCACCTCATGAAAGCTGATTTTTGCAAGTGTAAGGAGGCCCTGTTTAATGTTTTTCTCGTCTGGTGTCTCTTCTCGTTCATGTTTGAAATTGTGAGTCAATGTCAATGAGATGAAAATAGTAAATGGCATCCTTGTCGACAGCCAAGGCTTTTTCCACCATTTTCTGGTTTATTGTTTCGTTCAGCATGTTAGCTCGTAATGCATAAACAAATAAAACTGTTGTCACCAAAAACGCTTAAAATTGGCTCTTTCCTACCCTAACCCTTGTGTAAACCATTATATCCTCTTCAAAAAGTATGTAGGGTTAAAGTCTAGCCTCGTTTCTATGTGATTGACAGCTCTTTTGCATAATCCAGGTCACAGTGACTGGCAAGGCTATATAATGTACCAAGTTTGAGGGCGAGCCGTTAGGTTCTTTTCAAGACATTGAAAGTTTTAATTCTAGCCCCGTTAAGATGTGGTTTCCATATCATCTATATAAACTAGTAGGCCGACCATATTGTAAGATTTTTAGCAGTTCCAAAAACCTTTTAGGTATTTATTTATTCATTTATTATTTATACATTTAGAGCTGGTGTCTTGTATCTTCATTGGAAGCTCATGAATGATGATTTCTGCAAGTGTAAGGAGACCTTGTTCAACGCTTATCTCGTTTGTGGTCTC